CGGACAGTTGTTAGCTGCCATGTGGGTGCTGGAATTTGAACCTGGGTCTTCTGCAAGAACAGTTGGTGTTCTTAACCGCTGAGCCATCTCTCCAGCCCCTCTGTTTATTATTTTTATGTGTTTGAGGGTATTGCCTACATGTGTGTAAGGGCACCCATGTCATGCAATGTCAGCGAGGTCAGAAGAGAGCATCGGATCGGGGTCCTCTGTAAGAGCAGCCAGTGCTCTTAACCACTGAGTCATCTCTCTAGCCCCCACAATAGAGTTTTTAACACTTAAGGATGTGACTCTGGAGAGAACTGAGGCCCAGAGAGGAACAGAACACTTAGCCAAGGTCCCACAGCAAGCAAGGACCAGGATCTTGCCTCCTGGGGCTCATCTCTCCCTCTGGGAAGCATAGGGGTAGTGAAAGAAAGAGCTGAGGGTTAGCAGTGCTCCTGCGCAATAGGGAGCACCAGCCATCAGGGAGCCCCACACAGTGGCTGTTGTACCTTGTTGCCAAGAATGGGGACGTAGCCGTTGGTGAAGCTCCACTGCTTGAGGTTGATGGGCCGTCGCGTGCGGCCCCGCAGGGAGCCATAGTGGAAGACCTCATTGGCACTGTTGGAGCTGTAGAGGATGAGGATGGTAATGAGGGCAAAGAGGATCACGAACACTGCTGACCGCTGCTCCTGCAGAGGAAAGAGGCCGTTGAGGGCCCAGGCACACCACAGGCTTGGCACCCCAACTCCCTGCTGCCCACCACGCCCTTCATACCAGATCAGTTCAGGAGTTCAGCCACCACTTCTTTCAACTTGAGTGCCCCCATCACAGCACTGATCAACCCTATTGCCTGTTTTTTCTGTCCTGGGAACTCAACCTAGGGCCTCAGGCATGCCAGAAAAGTCATCTACCCCCAGACTCTCTCTCCAGCCCAATTACACCATTTGCAAACTGCTATTCAATCAGACAATAGCTCTAAGAACTAAATCTGGGTCAGCCTGGTACCCCAGGCCTGTAGCAAAGAAAGTTTTCAAGAAGGCAGTTAGATACCAGGTATGGTGACACACACCTTTAATCCCAGCACTTGGGAGGTGGAGGCAGGCAGATCTCTGTGAGTTTGAAGCCAGCCCAGTCCACATAGTGAGTAAAGGAGAGCTGGGGCTACAGGGAGACACTGTCTCCAAAACAAAAGAGAGCTGGGCATGTTGGTGCACACTTGTAATCCCAGTACTCTGGAAGCTGAGGTAGGAAGATCACTGCACATTTGAGGCTAGCCTGGGCTACAGAGTGAGGTGGGGAAAATGTTCTCAAGAATATGTTTTTGGACTGAGATGTGGATAATAAGTTTCCCTGAAAAGATGCCTGGAAACGGTTGGGGGGCTATCCAAATGCAACAGCCCACATCTTCCCCTAAACAGTAACTCTTTGTAAGTTCAGAGTACAGCTGGTCCCCGATATCTATAAGTTCAGTAGACTCAAGGAACCATAGATCAACAATGTAGTCAGGCCTACAGTGGTTGTGTCTTCATTGAACATATACAGACTTTCCACATTGCCATTATCCCCTAAACAATACAGCAAAACTTTTGTGAGTTTTGTTTTGAGACAGTCTCAATAACCCAGGTGGTCTCTAACTCACTATGTAGCCAAGGCTGGCTTTGAACTACTGATCCTCCTGCCTCTACCTCCAGAGTGCTGGGATTACAAGCCTGTGCTACTACATCAGCAGTTTCCTTTGCATGTACATTGTTACTGTTACATGTAATCTAGAGATGACAGTGTAAAGATGTGAGGTTATATTCAATTACTAAGTCATTTTACACAAGCAACTTGAGCATCCCTGGATTTCTGTCTCCTTGAGGGACCTCAGAACCAATCCCTCACTTATAGCGAGGAATAACTATGTTGTCTCTCAGCTCCAAGCTCATCTGTTTTTGCCTGCTCTGTGAAAATGGATCTGGGCTCTTTAATTATGTTCCTTTGCCAGTCAAACATTAAGTTTTGTCAGTAGAGGGCGCTGGAGAGACACTTCAGGAATTAGGCTGAGACCACAGCTTCACCCAAGTTCAGCACCTGTAGCACACAGCGACCAGTGGCTTCTCTGCCTAGGGCCTGCAGTATGGGGATCAGTGGACCACAGCTGAGATCTCTCCAGTCAGGCCTGCACCTCAGTCTTTGGGGAGGAGGCGTGCTTTACATCTGGTCCTAGAGAGATGATCTTTGAGTTAAGGATCACCTTGCCTCCTGATAAATCCACTGTAAGTGGAAAATATGAGAAGTGGGAAAATGCCTCTAACAAACTAGTCAGCCTAATATCCTAGCTGATGGAGTTCTTTGGGAGCTGCGGTCTGGTTACCAGAGCCTCATACTGCACACTGTGAGCCAAGGAAAAAATCAAAACTCAAATTTCTACAGAAGTTTCTTTGTGTGCGTGCATGTGTGTATATCTATATCTATCATCGATCAATCGATCTATAAAGAATTCCGTTTCTTGCTGTTCTATGCCCTGTAGTCAATGATAATTTTTTGCATTAACCTTTCCCCGCCAAACTACTGTGTAGTCTTTCCCCTAGACTCAGGCTTGTAAACCCACCCTACCCACTTCCAAACTTTACAGTCTGCCAAAGCTGACACCGAGTCTGGGGTCAAACACATAGTAAGTGCTTAGAAAGTATGAACAAATGCATGATGGGAAATCGTGATGCTCACTTTCGACTCTGAACACTGTTCCTCCTGTTGTTGTCCCCCAACCCCACCCCAGCCTTAGCTCATCTCTACTTTCCCAACCCACCTCCTGCACATCTCTCCACAGACACTTTCACTGCCAGTGCTTTGCCACAGATATATCAGCCAAGCCTAGGATGACAGAATCCTGGGCCCAGAAAGAGGCAAGAGGCTTCCCAAACCACTCATCGCATCAGTGGCTGAGGCAGGGATTTAACTCGGGCCTCTCAGGCACTGGCTGTCCAGTGGGGGTCAGAATCTTGCTGGCCTGGTCAGAGTAGGTGAGGGGACACATTTCACAGAGGGCTATGAGAGGCTCAAATGGGGGTAGGAAATAAAGGGGACTTACTTTGTTGCTACTCATGTCTCTCCGGCGTCTGCTGAGGGGTAGGGGCCAAGGTCCTGCAGGTGGCCCAGGGGGCAGGGAAGTGGGGTCACACCTGCAAGCCACCAGAAATGGTTATGGCCTGGGGCCCTCCTCTAGGTCCACTGATCACAGGACAGCTCTCCTATATGCCCAGAACTTGAAGACTCAGGGCTGCATCCATTTTTGTACTGATTCCCATCCATCCTCCAAGGAGGGGTGGCTGGAGCTTTCTGGGTGCTCATCTCCCCCCAGGCACTGGTCACACAGTCCCTGTGCTGGATGCCTCAACAAGTTGTTATTAGCCAGTGTGATCTTGGGGTCAAGGGCAGGGCCTCCAGTAGGAGAGGTCTAGTCTAGTCTCAGCAGCCTCAGTCTGACTCCGCATCCACAGGAAGACAGCCACCTTCCTGCCCCAACCAGCTGCGTGCAGCACTCCCCAACCGTCTCCTCCCACCGCTGGGCCCAGCCCTTCCATTTCCCCACCTGTAACGGGCCGGGCCGTAAGTACTTGCATCCTGCCCACCTGCATCAGCCACAGGCCAGAGCATAGAAAGGGAAGGTGTGAACCCAGAGAAGACTGGGCCTCCGAGGACGGGGTTCCCCAGCTCGGTGCCGTCCCCCAGGGGCCTCGGGGCTCCGGCCACGGTCTCCGCCCCCTGACCTAGCTGCTGTTTACTCCTACGCGGTCACCAGGAATAGCCAAAGAACCTCAGGCCGGAGCGCCGCACACTCACCACACTCCGGATTGGCCAGGCCTGGCTCCTCCCATCACCGAGCCCCACCCCGGCCCGCGGTCCCCTTTCTGCCCTCCCCAAGACTGAGGTTTTGCCCCCCGCCCCAGCCCGCCCATCACCGCCAGGCAGGGAGACCCCGGATTCCCACCTGTCCCCATGGGGACAGAGCAGGAAACTGAGGCTCATCAGAAGGGAGGCGCGTCTTGGCTTTGGACCCCCAGGCAGTTCGGACTCTGTATTTCAGAGCGCTCGGGGGTCCAGCAGCAGCGCCCAGCCAGACCGCGTCTAAACTACCCTCTCCTGCGCATGCTCCGCGCTCCAACACCTAGAGCACCGCAGGTCCCAGGCCCACCCCCCCACTTTCCCACCTTTGCCCGAGCACGGTCCCCCAGGTCAGCCCCGTCACAGTCCTGCTCTGAGAAGGCCATGTCAGGACAGCATGTCAGGTGCCAGTGCGAATGTCGGGTCCACACTTACTGGCTGGGGGGCCTCGAGCAAGCCATGTGCCCTCTCTGAGCCTCAGTTTCTTCATCTGTGAAATGGGAATGGTAAGAATGGGTAACTCTTGGGATTGTTGGAAGGATTCATGCCATGCAAATGTGGAGGGGCGCACAGAGCTAGAAAGCGCCCCATCAGTGCCGGAAGCTCTGGTTTAGGATTAGGTCTTCAAGGCCCGCCCCTAGGAACTTGCCAGAGCAACAACCCTCCACCTCTGACCCCAAGCCAGGGACTTCCCGGACATCAGGGAACCTGCCCCGGAGCCACGTTCAGCACCGCCTGCCCACAGAATCCCCTCGGCAACGTGGTCTGAGAGGAGCGCTTGCTCCCCCCATTTCACAGATGAGGAGACTGAGGTTCAGTGAGGCAACGTGCCTGGATCGGCCGCGGGAGCCGGCAGGGAGAACCTAGCGGACATGCTTGTTTACATGACCCGGCCTGATAGGGTCTCCAGGAGGGTCCCCTCCAGCCCGGCACCTGGCCGGCACCTAGTGGGCAGGCCTGGCGGGGAGCGGCTGGCCCCGCCGGGATGCCGGCCCTGGACTCAGCCTAGAGGCTGGACGTGTGGAGGCTGAGCTGAGGAGGGGGCCGCACCCTGCGCTCGGGAGACCCGGGGATCCGAAGTGCCGCGTGGGAGGAGGCTCCGGGGCGATCCGGGCCGGGTGCACCGAGGGAGGTCTACCCTGCTGAGCTGCTGCGCCCCGGGGTCCCCCGTCCTGAGCCTGGCTGCGCAAAGCAGGGATGCGGGCCGGCGGGCAGGGTCCCCATCCCCACCGCGGGGGCAACCCCACGAGCCCGGCGGACCCGGGGCGCCCCGGGGTCCCCCCCCCCAGACCCTCGCCGTCACGCAGGCGGCGCCCCCACCCCGATCCGCCCCCGCTCACCTCCGCCGGGGAGCGCCCGGCCCCCCGCGGCCCCCGAAGCCCCTCACATGGCGCCGGGGGCCGAGAGCTGGGGTCCGAGCTGCTCCGGCCGCCCAGGCCCCACTGCAGCCCCGGGCCCGCCGGGTCCTAGCGCCGGCGACTCAGCCCCGGCCTTGGAAGGGGGCGGGGCCTCGGGTCTCCCCGCCTCTGGGAGGAAGGAAACGAGGGGAGCTGGCATCAGTTCCCGCCGGGTGAGCACGGAGCTACCAGCACCCTGTCCCCACCGCATCTGGCCCACTTGGAGCCTCTATACTGATACCTCAACCTCGGATGGGGGAACCGAGACGCCGAGATCATTGGGCTTGTGATCAGTAACTACCCCCACCTCTGAACTGGAAACCCAGCAGTCACTTGGAGGGCAAACGGCTCCGCCATCCATCCACTGGCTGTGCAGCCTAATACATCAGTTCATTGTCCAGGAAAATGTGCACAGTAAGGATGTAAAATGTACGGCCTACTGGGGCTACTGCTGCAGGCCTCTAATCCCAGCACCTGGGAGTTTGCAGACTCCTGGCTAGCCTGGCTGACACAGTCCAGGCTGGCTAGGGTTACAAACCTAGACTTTGTTTCCACTCTTCTCACCCCCAAGGAGTCATTGTTTGACTAAATTTTATATGACTAAAAAGTAGCAACTTGGGGCCTGGGAATTGACTCAATTAGTGGTAAGGGGTTGCCATGGCTCAGGACCAGAAAATGAAATCCCCAGAACCCGGTAAATCAGGTGTGATAATCCCAGCTCTGAGGAGAGGTGGAGACAGGAGGATTCCTGGGGCCTACCATGAGTTTCTGTCTCAAAACACAAGAGGGAACAAGCACAGGGAGGAAAGACACCAGAGGTTGACCCCTGGCCTCCATGCACACACATGAACGTGCACACATGTACACACATAGAAGCAATCTAAGTAGGGTAAATAAACACAAGCCTGGCCTGCCCATAGTGCGTTAGGAGGCTGTTAAAATGAAGCATGTGGGTCAATGTGCATGGTCAGGGCCCGCAGAATACTTAAAAGTGAAGAAAACAAGCTTAAAGAATTGCATGTTGTATAATCACTTTGGAAAACAAAGTAGTAAAAATATCCAATCCATGCCTGAATACCTATACCCTGGAGAGATCCCATACAGATGTACACAGCAAAGCCCACAGCAGCACCACTGAAGTAACACATCAGTAGAAATAGTCCAAATACCCACCAAGAGGAGTACAGGGGTTTTTATATTTTATGGACCACTTATATTGTGGAATATTACACAGTAGGGGCAAAGAATGAGCTACAGATACATCAGTGAATGTTGGAGACCTAAGGAGTGAAAAAGGCAAATGTGAAAACTACACGCCATGGCCAAGAGGAGTGGCACCTGCTGTAATTCCAGCACTTGGGAGATGGAGACAGGCCAGATGGGGCTACAGGGATACCATGTCTCAAAAATAAACAAAAACAAGATCATGGAGTTCAAGGGAAGCCTGCATGAGACTCTGTCTCAAAAACAAATAAAAAGCCGGGCGTGGTGGCGCATGCCTGTAGTCCCAGCACTTGGGAGGCAGAGGCAGGTAGATCTCTCTGAGTTCAAGGCCAGCCTGGTCCACATAGTGAGTTCCAGGACAGCTGGGGCTACAGGGAGACCCTGCTTCAAAAAGAAAAAAAAATAAATAAGTAAATAAATAAATTAATCAACCAACCCCAAACAAAAACAAACCTACACAGCATTGCTAAAGCATAAAACTCTCACAGCCCAGAACAAATAGCTTTTGCCTCTTTCACTGATTAAAGTTTCAAAAGTAAAAGTTGAGAAGATGGTTCTGTCCCTAGGGAAGGAAATGAAGAGGTTTACACATTACAGAAATGGTCTGGTCTTTAAATAGAGACGAGTTCAAGAGGCTCACCACATTACTGTGCTCATACAAACATGACATAGACGGTCTTGTATATCACAACATTCAAAAAGAAAGGTTCGGGGCCAGCAAGATGGCTCAGTGGGTAAAGGCACTTGCAACAAACCTGGCTACCTGAGTTCAGTCCCTAGAACCCACATGGTGCAAGGAAAGAATGAACTCTTGCAAGTTATCCCTCTGATCCCACATGTGCACTGAAGCATTGGTCCCCCTCCTTGGCCCAGTAAATAAACAAAATATAAGTTTTCTTTTTTTTGGTCTTTTCGAGACAGGGTCTCTGAGTAGCTTAAGCTGGCCTGGAACTCACTGTGTAGACCAGGCTGGCCCTGAACTCACAGAAATCTGCCTGCCTCTGCCTTTCAAGTGCTGGGATTACAGGTGTGCGCCACCACACCTGGCCTGATAAAATATAATTTTAAAAGGCATAAAACCAGGCTGGAGAGATGGATCAACAGTTAAAAGCACTGACTGCTCTTCTAGAGGACCCAAGTTTGGCTCCCAGCACCCATATGGTGGCTAATAACTACCTGTTACTCCAGCTCCAGTAGATCCAATGCCCTCTTCTGGCCTCTACAGGAATTACATTCACATGGTGCACTTACATACATATATGTATATAGGTAAAACAGACACATTAAACATAAAAACATATAAACACAAACATATAAACACATAAAAAATAAAAATGCCTTTAATCCCAGCACTCAGGAGGCAGAGGCAGGTGAATCTCTGTGAGGTTGAGGGCAGTTTGGTCTACATAGTGAGTTCCAGGCCAGTTGGGGTTACAGGGAGACCATTTCTCAAAAAAATAAATAACATAAAATAAAATAATTTAAAAATTAAAAAGGTAATAAAAATAAAAAAGAAGATATCCTTTGCTTATCACGATTAAAGTGTCCGTGAAGATGGATGTGGTGGCATAGACTTGTAATTGCAGCCACTGGGGAGCCTGAGGCAGGAGAATCTCAAGTTCTGGGCCACATAGTGAGACTTACCTTCATCTTAAAATAAAAAAATGTAGCCAGGCATGGTGGCGCACGCCTTTAACCCCAGCACTTGGGAGACAAAGGCAGGCAGATCTCTGTGAGTTCAAGGCCAGCCTGGTCTACATAGTGATTTCCAGGCCATCTGGGGCTACAGGGAGACCCTGCCTCAAAAAGACAAAAAATAATAAGTAAAATGTGAAGTGCAGTGACACATGGCTATAATCCCAGCACTCAGGAGGCAGAGACATAAAAGTCAGTAATTCAAGGCCAGCTTTTACTACATAGTGGAGCTGGAGGTCAGGATGGGCTATGCAAGACTCTCTCAAAACAAACAAATCACCACAGGAAGAGTTAGGAGTGGCTATGTCTGGAATAATGGGACTTGCACTGCCTTTTTTTCTTTGGGCTTTGTATTTTCCAAGAAAAATTTAATATAATAGTTACACAATCCTTTTATATCTTAAAATATATATATTTTTCTGGACATGGTAGCTCACACCTATAATCCCAACACTCTTGAGGCTGAGGCAGTTAGGCAAGAGGATCATTGTTTGAGACCAGCCTGGGATTCTCTTTAATGCAGGGGGTGGGGAGGCTGGAGAGACAGTTTAGTGGTTAAGATCACTTGCTACTCTTGCAGAGAACAGGGTTAGGTTCCCAACACTCACACTGGGCTTCTCACAACCTCCTGTAACTACAGCTGCAGGGGATACAATGCCTTCTTCTGGCCTCCAAGGGCACCTGGAGGCACATGGTATACCTTTGGTTAAGAGGCACACACGTACACATCAATAAAAAATTAAAATTGACCAGGCATGGTGGCACATGTCTTTAATCCCAGTATTGAGAGGCAGAAGCAGGCATATCTCTAGGATTGTGAGGGCAGCCTGGTCTGCACAGTGAATTTCAGGCCAGTCAGGACTATATAGAGAAACCCTGTCAAATAAATAAATAAATAAATAAATAAATAAATAAATAAATAAATAAATAAATAAAGGGGTTGGAGAGATGGTTCAGCAGTTAAGAGCACTAGCTTTTCTTGCAGAGAACCTGGGTTCAGCTTTCAATACCCACATGGTAGTTAACAACCATTCATAACTCCAGTTCCGGGGGATCTGACGGCCTCTCTGGCCACTGCAGGCATTGCACACACAGGTGCATTTAGATACATTCAGACAAAGCACTCATACACATAACATAAAAATAGATCAAAAACAAAAACAATTTTTTTGAGGTGGGGCTCCTTGTAACCCCAACTGGCCTGGAGGAACTCGATATGTAGACCAGGCTGGCCTTGATCTCACAGAGCACAGAGATCTGCCTGCCTCTGCCTCTAGAGCGGTGGGACTAATGGCATACACCACTATAGCCTGCCCTTAACCCTCACCTTTTAATGCAGTTACCATATTTGTAAACGCACACAAAAGATGTGGGAAAGAATCCAGAACGGGGTACTAAAGCAGTACTTCCTGGAGCTTGGTGGGAAAGGGAGTGCCACATTTACTTTTAACGTAATAAAGTTCTCAGTGGTTTGCATTGCATCAACTTACTGAGTTTCCATCCATAGGATGGTTTGAGTCAGTCTTACTCTCTACCTCCTGACCCTCCTGTCTCCACTTCCCAAGTGCTCTGATCACAGGTATGTACTACCATATTGGGTGTAATTTGGTCAGTTAGTAACATATTGCTTTTATACCACTATGTAGCAGAGGATGACCTTGAACTCCTGACCCTCCTGTCTCCACTTCCCAAGTGCTCTGATCACAGGCATGTACTACCATATTGGGTGTAATTTGGTCAGTTAGTAACATATTGCTTTTAACTAAAACAAAAGGGAGGACTCATGTCCCCTCCAGCCACGGTGGGGAAGCAGGCTGCCTATCAGAACAGACACAGAACATCCTGCCCCTCTAGTATCTGCCTCTAGCACAGAGTCTTGGCCCCATCTGTACCCCTGGCCCTCCTGATCCGACCCTGTGGGAGCCAAAAAGGAAACCGTCAGTGGGAGGGGTGAGGGAGAAAAAGGAAGAAAGGAAGGTTGGGTGAAAAGTCTGATGAATTTATCTTGTCAGCTAAGTGCTCACAGACCAGAGATGGGCAGTCACTAGCTCAAACAGCTGGTAGGCTATGGCAGAGGTAGACCTCCCATCTCCACCTTCGCCCTTTTCCTTACCCCAGGCACCGTGGAACACTGAAGAGGACAGGATGTTTAAGACCAGTCCTGGACAAGGCAGAACTGGAGCCCCTACTCAGGCCTCCCAGGTTCATGTTCCAAGGTTACCTCCAGGAGACCTGGCTTCCATCCCTGGACCCCAAAATGGTGGGGTGCTTGCCTCTGTACTAAGCACTTGACAAGCATACCTCATTGGACCTTTAAAAGAACCTGTGACATGGGAGCTACTGGGAGCCCACTTTCCAGAAGAGGAAACAGGTTCAGAGAACATGGAGGTGGCAGGGCTAGAATTCCTCTAGGCCTGCCTATCTAATACTCACAAAGCTGTTTGGCCCAAAGGCCCCAAGCCTACAAGGGCTGGCCCAGACATACCAGGGCACTCAGATGGGGCCTTTGGCTGGTCCTGCCCCATCCGGGCTTCCATTTCAGTCCTTCCTCCAGGTGGGGGAAGAAAGACGGGGGTGACAACCACAACCCACCCCCTTTCCTGCTCCTTAGTAACGTTTCGTTTTGCACTGCTGTGGTTGGAACCTGGAGCTCTGTGTACCACCAGCAAACATTCTATCACTGAGTTACACCCTTAGCCTTCCTGTAGCAGATTCCTTCGTGTTTTTATAACTTATCTGGAAAGAGTCCTCTTTACCTACCATCCTAGCCATCCCCACTCCCAATTTATAAAACTAAGGCCCAGACAAAGGACCTAAACAGAGCTCAGCTGGGCGCCAGGCCTGAGAACACCAGCTTTCAGGGTCTCAAGAGAAGCCAGAGGGCAGTGGACAGGTGGGGTCTGGACAGGAGCTGCTCCTGTAAGCCGGTGCTCAGAAAGACCTATAATCACTAGCCAGGAAGTTCTTGGGTCTTCCTGGAAAGGGGCTACATGGGGTGCCCAACAATTTTCAATAGGAGGTTCTTTTCCTCCCCTGGATAGATGAGATAGAGCAGGTGCTTACAGCCCGAAGACACCTAGACACCTTGGACTGTGAGGCCCACCTAGCTTCCTCTCCAGGCTTAGATAGAAGTCAGTGGATCTCCAGTGAGTCTGCTAAGGGACAGGAACCAGAGCGGGGACAGGACGGAAACACAGGCTCAGAGCGGCAGCAAACATAGGTGCCCCCCACAACTCCTCAAGGACATGGGGTGGCTCCTGCCACACCACTCACCTTCCAGCAGTTACAAGGGTTGCAGTGGCCAAGGAGGGGGGTCTTCAGTCTCATCATCGGAGAGCCTTCAGCAGATCCTGTGCCAGTGACCAGACCTGTCAGGGGCATCTTCCAGTGCTTGGAGGAAGTGGCTGATGAATTTTGTAGTACAGGTCACCACCCAAGAAAAGGCAATTCTTTGGGCCAACCCAGCAGTAAACACCCCACCCAGAGGCCAGAGGCGGGGGCAGGACCAGGACAGACTGGCCTCTGTATTCTGGGCCCATGGGCTGGGCCAGCATTTCCTGGGGGCATGGAAGAGGAAAAGGTCTCCTCTCTGGGGGACTGGAGTCTGACTCCCTTCAGGACCAGTTGGATCAGTAGGCTTTAGACACCCAGGATGAGGGTGGGGGTGGGGAGACTTCTAATGGAGTGAAAAGACCAATACCCATCTATCTATACCAAGGTGGAATGGGGTCACCTGAGGTAGGACAACCTCATTTAAATAGTGGCTTCCACATAACAGTGCCAAGCTGTGCTTTAAGGCTCAGGGACTCGGCATCTCTGAACTCATACCATCTTATATCTTATGAGGTAGGGACTACTTTAATGCCTTTATAGATGAGGAACTGAGACCGGAGAGGGTGCTAACTAGATAGAGCCACAGAGCAGGGAGGGGAGACACACTGAAGTGAGATTTGCAGCCAGGGCCCTCCCTTTCACCCTGCCACCACCTTCCCCTACCCTACTCTTGCTGGAGACCCTCCCCTGCCAGGTCTGCGGAAGCGGTAGTGGTTTGACAAGTGGTTTGGCTGTCAGCCTGCTCAGGTTCCCCCCCCCGACTCCCCACCCCTTCTTCCTCCTCCTACTCTATTTCTGGGACCACTTGGCACTGAGTAGAAAAAGCTATGGGGTAGGTGCCAGGTCTCCACCTCTAGAGGTGGGAGGGAGGGGGCCAGTCCACCAGAGACCTCAGCATGAAGGGCGGCTCTGCCATCTGTGGAATCCAGTACAAAAGCAAAGTGGGAGGCCCCTTGTTAAAAAACAAAACATTATGACTAATTTCCAGCTTGCAATAGTAGAGCTTAAAGTAAGCACAAGCACAGGGCTCTGGGTGACTGTACAGGTTACATCCAGAGGGTCCTCAGTCCTGAAGCTGAGAGCTAGAGCCCAGAAAAACATTCTTTAGTCTTCCAAAGAAGGAAGGAGGCAGAGTGGGGTAATCAGCTCAGGTCTGGTAGGATTCTGGTTGATGGCTCAGTTTTCCCAATTCACAGTGTGGAAAGTGAAGCTTAGAGGACTAGCCTTGAGACAACTCATTTCTGGACAGCTTCCCACCTCCCCAGTCCTCTCCCCGTCCCCCCAGCAGCTTTTCCTGTCTAGCAAAGGGCCCAAGCCCAGTTAATAGGCTGTTTGAATGGAAAGACTTTGAAATTTGACTCTTAGGACAGGAAAGTGACATTGGGTGGAATTTCCTTCCCAGGCCCTGGCTCTACTCCCACTAAGCATGGACCAGAGGTTCCCAAAGAAACATTAGACTTGGAGTGGTTTTCTTGGGCCTGCATAGTCCTGGGGTCAGAGTGTGGAGGCCTGATCTGGTAGGGAAGGTGAAGTTTGGGGGCTGACGTCCACAGAGGCAATGCTAGTAGATCAGGAGGCTGTAATGCGAGTCTGGAGAGGAGATGCAGGGCTCAGTCTTCCATCAGTGAACAGATTATGGGACAGTGTCCCGATCCCCAACCCACATCTGTGACCACAACAGACGCAGTGTCCAGAAAATACACATTTACTGGTACACTCCTGAGATGGCCCTGACAGTCTCTGCTCAAAGGTCCTGTACCAAACAAATCCCAGGCTCCGGGCTGCCCCAAACAGAGCCACCAGCCTGAGAATGTGGCACTGTGTGGCTGGGGGTAGGTAAAGGAAAGATCAAGACGGCTGGCACAAGGTCATGATGCTGGTGAATGGGGGGCCATTGCCCCCAGGGCAAAGGCCACTTGAGAGACCTGGTGGTAAGACAAACCCCAAGATGAAGACATGGATTCTCCAGGGAGCTGGGGTGACATCGGTGGCAGGCTCCCTCTCAGGCTCCCCCTTTAAGTCACAAGTCACCCGAGATTGTTCTAAGTGTCCCCAGGGTGGGGTAGGAAGAAACCCCAGGACCACCTGGCATGTGGCAGAAGGTAAAGTCATAAATTAAATGTTCCTAATGGAGTGTGGTGGCCTGGGATTGTCACCGGACTAGGGGAGGCCTGGTGGCCACTAGCCACAGGAACTACTCAGCCCTCCAGGATGGGTGGGTGAACACGATGGGCCTTTTCTTGGCCCAGCGGGAGAACACGGCCTTCTCGGTGATGAAGCGGTGGGCACTCCGTGGCGCCTTCTCATGCAATAGGTACATCTGACACTCATCTAGCCGGCCCTTCTCGAAATAATGGTAAGGCACAGAGGGGTGGCTCTTCTCCCTGTGGGGGAGGGAAGAGGGCTAGGTGGAACAGATGCAGTACCCCAGAGCTGCCTACCTCCCAGGACTATAACTCCTCAGCTGCTGCAGGCCCAGGAAAACCCACATCTGGACAGAAGACAAGAGCCAGGCAGCTGTGGAGCTCAATGGTCAGGTTCAGAACCACCACGCCTCTGTCTTGCAAGCTCGGTGACTCTGAACCGCACATACAACCCTGAGCCTTCAGCAGCGGGGGCGTCTAATTTCCAGGGCAAGGAAATCACCAAGGATGAATTCTATGATGTACTGTTAACTATTCCCTGAAGAGTGGTACTCCCATGGCACAGAGCTGCCAACTCTGCCACATCTGCCGAGGCGCACGGTGCAGGGTGGCCGTGACAGGGACCCTGGGCTCCTATCATCTCACTTATGTGCCCAAGACACAAAGTCTAAAGGGAACAGAGTAAAACCCCAGGACCTTTCCCAAACTCGTTATAATAAAACTGAAATATAATAAAGTAACAACACAATCCCAAATCAATATCTGAACTTATTTATGATGTTTAAGTAATATCCAAAATAAAAATGCATCTGTGACTCTATCACTGATATGTATGTAGGCCCCTTGTGGGAGAAGTACTTTTGTAGATTATTGTATAAGGAATGTCCAACTCACTGCCCATTTGGCTAAAGATAGCTATAAATGCATGCCAACAAAATCATAAACTTATTTAAAACATGAAGGCTTTTGGTCGGGCGTGGTGGCGCATGCCTTTAATTCCAGCACTCGGGAGGCAGAGGCAGGCGGATCTCTATGAGTTCAAGGCCAGCCTGGTCTACATAGTAAGTTCCAGGACAGCTGGGGATACAGGGAGACCCTGTCTCAAAAAGACCAAAAAAAAAAAACAAAAAAACAAAAAAAAAAACCCATGAAGGCTTTTTTTTGTAATTTTTTTTTTTTTGTAACTTGATAGTTCCATTCTCAAGTGAGAAGTTTGTAGATAACAGTGTCAACGTCACAATGTCTAAAGGTTGGACATACTGGGGGGCTGGAGAGATGGCTCAGCAGTTAAGAGCACTGACTGCTCTTGAAAAAAAATGCAGAGAGCCCGGGTTCGATTCCCAGCACCCACATGGCGACTATGAGCCGTCTCCAGTTCCAGGGGAATTGGAAGCCCTCTTTTGATCTCCGCGGTATTGCATGACACATGTGCACTCACATACATGCAGGCGATACACTCATACACATTAAAAAAAAAAAAAAGGTTGGACATACTAGATGTGGTCGTGCTCACCTTTAATCCAATTCTCGAGAGGCAAAGGCTGGCAAATCTCTATGAGACTGAGGCCAGCCTGATCTACATAATGAGTTTCAGCTGGGGTTACAGGGGGACCCTGTCACAAACAAACAAACAAACAAACAAAAAAAGGACACGCCTGCTGTGGTGGTTCAACACTCCTCCCTCTGGAAAAAAAAAAAACTCTTATTTTTAAATAAAATTTTTTTTTTTTTTGGTCTTTTTGAAACAGGGTCTCCCTGTAGCCCCAGCTGACCTGGAACTTGGCTTTGTAGACCAGGCTGACCTTGAACTCACAGAGATCCGCCTGCCTCTGCCTCCTGGGTGCTGGGATTGAAGGCATGCGCCACCACTCCAGCTTATTTTGTTTTTTTTTTGAGACAGTTCTCACATAGCTCAAGCTGGCCTCAAACTTGCTATACAGCCAAGGCTGACCTTGAACTCTTGATTTTTTTCCTCCACTTCCCAAGTGCTAGGATTTACAGACACACGTTACTATGCCAGCTGGAGGTTAAGCTCTTTCCCTAGTTCCTAGATTTGGGGGTGACAGTGCCTGAGCCATCAATCCATCATTAAGCCCTCATAGCTCATAGACAACTCTGGCTCCAGGACCCACACCGTACACTCCTCCCCTCCGCCCTGGTACCCTTCTGACCTGCAGTAGCTGTCACTGACCATCCCATAGACCGCAATCTCCTCACACAGCTCCAGGGCCAGGATCATGGTGAACCAGCCAGTGCTGAGGAAGGATCCTGACTGCTTCCTGTGGGGAGGATGAGAACTCTATCAGCAGCCCCTCCCAACACCCCATACTCTCACCTCATTAGAGATGAGTCCTAGGAAGGATGGGGTAGGAACAAGGAGCCAGCCTGAGTCAGCAGTGGGCCACATCCTCCCCTTATCTAAAGGACCAAGCCTGAGGAGACAGCAGAAGACTGGGTAAAAGTGAGGAAGTCTTGTTTCAAGTCAAATGGTCTTCCATTCCTACACCTCTCCCACCCC